TAATTGCCCCATGTTTATACAATTTCCATGCAGTTGCAGGAAAATGAAGCAGAATGTGTAGAATGATATAAAGATTTTCATGACCTGGTTCATGAACCAAAAAAAGACGAGGGACAGGCAGGATTAAATAAAAAACGGTGCCAATCAACCAATCACTTCAATCAATCAATGTTTATTTATATAGCCCAATATCACAAATGTTACATTTGTCTCAGTGGACTTCACAGTTTGTACAGAATATCAGTATGACAATACGACACCCTCTGTCCTTAGACCCTCACATCGTACAAGGAAACACTTCCAGAGAAAACCCACAGTTTAAAGGGGAACATGGGAGAAACCTCAGGGAGAGCAACAGAGGAGGGATCCCTCTCCCAGGACGGACAGACGTGCAATAGATGCCGTGTGTAAATCGAAGAGATAATACATTTTACAGCGTAGGTAGACCAAATGTTTGGAAATGCATGTGTCTATAATAAGAAGATGAATCCACGAGGATGTCAACAATCCTGTGGGAGCCATCAGGGAAGTAGTATGGTGAGAGTCAGGCAGGACCGCAGAGACAGGTTCAGCCACGACTCGAAGTCCAGGACTCAAATCCAGAACTCAGGATAGAGGATCCAGGACACACGACCACAGCAACAGGATCAGCCACGACTCAGGATCCCAGCGTAGATAGACACCAAAAAGACATTTGGGGGAGGCTGGGTTATTGGGAACATGAGAGTACACAGGTACAGACAGAGAGAAGGAAGAAGTAAGGTGTCCCCCGACAGTCTAAGCCTATAGCAGCTAAACTAACGTGTCTACATACATGCACTCCCTTAGGATAGGGTGAGGGAGAAGAGTAGGAACTAAGATGTATGCGCCACATCTATACCATGAGCGCATTGCTCCTAAAAAGTTGTAATGTGCGCTACACAGGTCATATTATCTCTGCTGCTCTCACACTGCGAGCACCATCTGACCCTACAGTTGTAACCCTGTCCACTTTCTCACACTCCTTTGCAACTTCGAGAAACTGCTTTCTGTCCCGCAGCTCTCCATCCCACCCTGACCTGCAGCTGTGGAGGTTGCCGTGGAGACGAGAGGAGGGGTCCAGGTCGGCCTCCAGCCCGAGAGGAGAGACCTCGATCTGCTACGTGAGCAGCGAACACTGCTACCAGAAACCAGGTGCATCATGGGAGAAATCCGAGGAGAGAGACAAGGAGACGCAGACGGTGGTGGTGAAGCAGGAGCAGGAGGTACACATTTGTGTTTACTTGCACTCTCTTATCTGTTTTATTGTGTTGCTCTGTTGGAGGAGCCTGGGACCTGAGATTTTCATGGACATAACTACACTGTAGCTTTGTACGAATGACAAAGAAAGCCTTGAAACCTTAAAGTTTATAACTTAATTACAGATTTAAAGCAGTCCGGAAAAATATACAATATTGTCTTGTACTCCTTGAAACTACCGACACTTTTTTAGCCACCTTATGCTTTTAGTCGTTTTCCCTTTCCTGTGTCGTTTCTTTACTTCAGGAACAACACACACTCGCGCTTCTATTGGCTAGCGCTCCAACACATTGTTCGTGATAGGCTAAGGGGCGGGACATCTATAAGCAGGTTGACCAATCACAACAGAGCCGGCCAGCTTGCCAATCAGAGCAGACTGGGCTCTGGTTTCAGACAGAGGGTGAAAAGAGGTGCTGCAGCACAGGCAGTATGAGAAACATTAAGAGCTTTTTGAACATTAAAGCATGGAGACATGTCCCAGTAGAGACACTACATACTGATATACACCTGAACATCAGCAGGAGAGGACTCTTTAAAGTAGAGACACTACATACTGATATACACCTGAACATCAGCAGGAGAGGACTCTTTAAAGTAGAGACACTACATACTGATATACACCTGAATATCAGCAGGAGAGGACTCTTTAAAGTAGAGACACTACATACTCATATACACCTGAACATCAGCAGGAGAGGACTCTTTAAAGTAGAGACACTACATACTGATATACACCTGAACATCAGCAGGAGAGGACTCTTTAAAGTAGAGACACTACATACTGATATACACCTGAACATCAGCAGGAGAGGACTCTTTAAAGTAGAGACACTACATACTGATATACACCTGAACATCAGCAGGAGAGGACTCTTTAAAGTAGAGACACTACATACTGATATACACCTGAACACCAGCAGGAGAGGACTCTTTAAATGAGACTGCTGAAAATGAGGTTAGCATTTAGCTCCAATCATCGCTATGTCTTATAATATCTTCACACAGCTGACATTTTATGAGGTCAGGTTTTTAATGTCTGCCTTTTAGAGTTGCCCTTTCCAGCTTCCATTGTTCTGCTTCTCCTCCTCCTGTTATCTGTGTTAGCTCCTCTTAATGAACAAAGTGTGACTTGGCATTTCATGTGAACCTCAGGTGACGTAAGGGTGGTGTAAAAGAAATTCAAAGCTTGTCTCATAGAAACTCAGAGACCTTTAGCAGAAGCTGTTCCTCGTGTTCACAGGAGCCTGCTGTTGCTAAGAGACCACTGCAAACCAGTTTGAAGCTTTCTGCTTGAAAATGTGGAATTATTTATACCTGCTAATGCTCTGTGAGTGTGAGGGCTATGGAGAGAGCTTCGGAGGACTTAGTTTTATGATAAAGAACGTCCCTTTTTCTCCATATCTTCACTTCTTCCTCCTATACTTATTTTCCATCTACAGTATAACCATCACTGATCTTCATTGCATCTTAAAAAACACTTCTTGCTTCATTTTCATGTTTTATTTCAGATTGTCTCTTTGATGGTTTCCTTTCATGAAACAAGTTTTGTCTGTTTTTGTAGGAAATAAAGCTTGAAGATGTGGAGATGGGACCAGCTGATGCTACAGCAGATGCACACTCAGTGACACACACAGACACACCGCCCCGCATAAAGGCAGAGAGCCACACACACACTGCGGAGCCTCGTCCAGCGTCCGAGGCCGAGTGTCAGCTGAACCTGCTGGAGCACGTGGAGACGCTGCACCATCAGATCAGCGCCAGGATGGACCTGATAGAGCGGGAGCTGGACGGTAACACACACACACACACACACACACACACACACACACACACACACACACACACACACACACAC